CTCCCCAAGCGATTTCTAGCATAAGTGTTTTTATAAACTTGAGTGGTCCTTTCCCCTTTTGTGCATGATTATTTCCCCCTTATATAAATACGGTATTTAAATGCTGAAACTTACAGATTTCATAGGAAAGAAACTTTAGGATTTTGTTTTTCCAATGAGCCAGAACAAGTAATGTGCTGTCTGAATACCTAGCATTAAATGCATAGTTTGACAAGAACAAAATTATAGCTACAATTTATTAAACACACCACTATATTCTCTATCTCAAAAAACACAAGTTCTTTGTATTCATTATCTCATTTAATTCCCATTATATCTTCATTTTATTGTCCTTATTTTAGAGATGGGGAAAGTAAGGCCCAGAGAAGAGTAAGTCTAGCTCAAGGTCATACAGTCAGTAAGTCCTAGAGGCAAGACTCCCACTCAGGTGGCCTAATTCTCTCATTCAGTGTGCTGTTATCTTCTCCTTCAAACAACTTGGGAGCAATATTTCTAGCAAGTTAGCATAACAAAGCCTTGGAAAATTTAATTTTAAAACTCTGCAATAGTTCAAACCTTAGCATAAGAAAACCAACTGAAAAAAGGTCCAGTTAGATTCTTTTGAACACAAATGCAGTCATTTGAATAAATTCTTCTTATTTTTTTTTCTATATAAGTAACATTCCACTTTGTAGCTTTTCTGCTTTTTCTAGTTAGCACTGGGCTTTTAATTTTTCATTCTCCTTTTTTTCTGGTTCTGGTATTATAAAATTTATTCCTATTTCCCTGAGTTTTGAAGATTACTTTCTGGAACCAAAGTCAAGATTTGGTCTCAAATTAGGGAATAAATTGAACTCAGTAAGTACCTTTCAAGATACTTCATATATAGGAAAGAAAAATAAGAAAAAGGCAAATGTATGGCAAATTTTTGGAAGGATACTTATGATACCAGCATCTTATATTGAGATGATATTCTATTTTCCAAAGAGCATTCACAAATATTTCTCTTACATTTCATTTAGTTCTTACAGCAGTCTGTAGAGTGCAATTACCCTTATTCTGTTGTGGTTCAGAAAATGAGATTACTTGTCCCAAAGTGCAAATTTAGTAATTGATGGACTCCCATCTAAAACCTGTATTTTTAAATTTCTAATGAGACTTTTCCCCCCACAGTGCCAACTTTGGTTTCTTAAAAATGAGAATTAGTTGAGTGTGAAACTTTGTTGTTTTCTCTTCCCCCTTTCTGCAAACAGATATTATTGAAAACAGACTGAGGCTTGTTTACTGAACCTAAGGAATCTGGATATTCTACTGAATAGCTCTGAAGCTGAGACAGAATTCTCTGTTTCCCAGTTTGTGAGATGGATTTTTGTTATGGGTGGTAGAGAAAGTCTTTCATGACTTTGAAATTGTAGGAAAGAAGATCCATAAGGGCTGCTTTTTCTCTTTTGTTTCTCATTGTATTGAAGGTGAAGGTGGTGCCTTTCAAAACAGTGCTGTGGTTTAGAAATAACAGAAATCATACTTCATTTGGATCTCTTCCTCTTTAAGTGGAGTTCTTTTCAATGTGTGATTTGAGTTGAGTAAATAAGGGTGTGCATAGGAAAAGAAGCTATTTTGGGCCTAGCCAAATGCAGGCATTGGTTATCAGTGCTCCTTGCTATCATTTGCTGAGTAATAAAATTGTGTTTTCTAAAAATACATACCAAAATTCTTCACTTACTTGCATTTTCTTTTTCCTTTGCCAAGGGACACATGCACATTCTCTTGACCTATGTGATGCATTTAGACAGAATTTTCCAGAGGATCTTTTCACAAGTATTTGAATGAGAATTAGTGAATCACATAAAGTGAATGAGGGAAAGTCATACAAAAGGCAGCCACAAAGAAAACCAAATGATTAATTTCTGGGAAGAGAAATTTATTTGTAAAATTTAAAATTACTTATTTTACCCAAGACTATTTCAAATAGTTTATACTTAATAAGCTTGGGAAGATTTAAATGTTTAGCTCAGATCATACAATTATAACGAGTAGGGAGTTGAGATTTAAAAGCATGAGCCTTTCACCATCGTAGACAGTTGATTGATAGTGAACTTCTACTCTGCTTAGTTAACTGAGAGCTGAGCAGCCAAGGCACAAGGTAGGCAGAGTCCCAGCTTTCATGAGGCTTATCATGATGCACGTTGAACACTCATTTCAACTCCTTCTGTATATCCAGTCTTACGCATCAAAAGAGTAAACATTAGAGTGAAGCTGAAAATCTCAGACTTTCTGATCTGTAACTTCTCCTAATCCTGAGTTTCTCTCTTCCTCTCACCTACAAGAGTCCTTGTCATCCTAGCAACAGACCTTAGCATCCAAGAGATTGGAAGACACCAAGGATTCCCAGCCTTCAGGGACTCTCAGGTCATTCCTGCTATTTGGAGCTTTTAGTGCAGGGTGTATTATAACCTAGGAGATCATGATTTCGCCAATCCTGGGAAACATGGAAGCAATTTTGTTGAAGGTCAGCCGTTGTTGGGTGACTTTCGCAGTAGAATCATTTCCATTTGAGTTGAGAAACATCTCCCAGCTATTAGCCAAATGTGGCACTCCATTCAGGATCCAGTGTAATTGGGTGATTAAGACCACTCAGTGTTAATCATCTGAAGGAAGAACTTTGGCCTTTTAGTTACTAATGTGGGTGAATCAATCTGTTTATTCCTACTAACACAAACCAAGCTTTCTTCTGTAAGGGAGTGAACTTTCAACCTCACTAGATTTATAGTTATACAACACTAATAATGTAAAAGAGCATGGCTTATGAGTCTTTTACAATAGCTCTTATGATACCTGCTTTATTGTGAAGCCTTTCTAGCTTATGGCATGCTGAATAAATTTTGTTGGATATTATAAATGAGGCTAAAGAAACAGAAGGATGGAAAGTCTTTCCAGAACTGGTAGACTATCCCACATGTAAATCTAGAATTTCCAAAAAAATTTTCAGATCCTCCAGAAGAATTGTGTTTATTTCTTTTCTTTTTCTTTTTTTTTAAAGATTTTTCTTGAGCATTGATTGATGCAGAGAAGGGCTGTAAAGATAAAATGTCCCTCCCTGCCTTCTTAATAGTTCTCCATCTTCACACTGTCATAGCAATACTGAATTCACCTATGGGGAGTTCAAAACAAAACTCCCGATTTAAAATATGGTATCTTTGCAGTATATTAAGTCCAAAAACATTGCATATGAAGATTTATTTTAGATATTTAGCTCATGTTTTGAAATAGCACTGTTACCTATCCTGTAAAAAATGTTGCCTTTGAGGATTTGCATTAAACCTACTTCTCAGGGTAAGAACTACCATTTTCTATTTGTGAAATATAAATAGGATATAGGCATCAGCTCAGATCCAGCATTGTTTATTATGCAATAATTGCCAAAAATATCATTTGACCCCTTTTGCCTACTTTGTATATTCCCCATCTTTTGTGTTACACGGGAAGGTAAGATTTGACTTGTCAGAATTCCCTTTATTTCTGTTTTAATATTAAGTAGCTATTCTGAGTCTCAAGTGACGGGATTTTTTTTTTTACCAAATTTTTTTTTCCTGTGCCTGGGTCCTAAGACTGGAATAGATCCTCATTTTGCAGAGAAAAATGTCATAAATTTTTTTTTAAATTGAATCTGCCTGATCTAACACCATGGGCCAAATTATTTGCATATACTGTCTGTAAATTTTACTAGAGTCTCCAAAAAATGTCATCCTCTCCACTTTGTAAATGAGAATATGAAACTTTTTGAGCTTATTATATAATGGTTCAAAGTCATAGAAAAGTCAGATTCAAATCCAGGTCACTTTTTAATGCCAAAATCTACTTTCTCCACCACTTTGTGTTAACTTGCAAATATTAGATCTGCCTATATTTGATTGGACAGGAAATGGAATTTTAAGTAATTTATTTAAAGTTATTACACTAAGGCAATCTAGTAGAATAAGAACAGTGATTTGTTGGGCAAGTAGATGTCAAATGGAGAATTACTGTGATGTAAGTAACATTGTCATATGTCATAGCAGAAAAAAAATAAGTACTATAGAAAATTGACAAATCAAGAAACAATGAAATACACACATGGAAATATCGAACAGAAACTTTAAAATGGTAACTCTGGAGAAAGAAGACTGGAATTGCAAAAGGGATAGCTTTCATTATAAGCCCTTCGATACTTTGAGATTTTATTTATCATTTGATAAAATTTTAAAAGATCATAGAAAGAGGAAAAATATATGATTATGTGTTTTTGATAATTATACCTATCAAGATGCCTTAAATAGTGGATTTTAAGAAAAAAATGGGAATATTTTCTCAGCCTCTGTCCATTATGTTACTAGTAATATGAAACTGAATGCAGTTTAAAAGGCATGAATTTATTACCTATTAAGTTCAAGGCCTTGTTCTAAGTTTTATAGGAGATGAAAGATGGATAAAGTCTGGCTGCAATGTACTACAGTCTAATTGAAAGTGCTAATAGTGAGGGAAAATATAGATGGGAGGAAAGAGGCTCTCGAATTTCTCTGTCTCCTGCATACTGCGCTACGTTCTTTACCTACCTTATTTTTTATGGAAAACATAGATCATAGAAAAAAACAAAATATAAGTAGCTATGTGGGCTCAGTGGATGGAAAAAATGCATTTACTTATCAGGATCAAGAAATACTTCCTGAAGCAGAGGATTTGAAGTGGGCCTTAAAGGTAGAAAGAGATTTCTATAGACAGAAAGGAGATGGGAGTGTCATTGACATATTGCTAGTCGATAAACTCAGATTTGGAGTATTTTTTCCCCCTCTCATATATAAGCACTTAGCTAAACTCCAAGCTAGATACAAAACTAATATGAATTTTTAAAATAGTGTTTGTCTGGTTGAAGACTTTTAATTAAATGTAAATGCCACTATCAAAGTGACTTTTAGTGAAACTATTTTCAACTTTTCTCCTCTTTAGAATCACTCTGAAGAATTGAATATAACCACTATTGTCCATCAAGTATGAGAAAAGCTGCCGCCAAACTTGGAGGTCATATGGATTTTGTAGAAATTTTAGTTTTTTGAAAAATTATTTAGTATGTTCTTCACGTCTTTGAGGATTCTTTCTAGCTTCCCTCTTTAATGTAAATTTTGTTTAGTTTCCCTGATATTGCATGTAGTTCCATGTGAACTATTGGGGTCCAATGGTGTTATAATTCAAAAGAGTCTTCAGTTTGAAACCATGACCTCTTCACCATCTTGAATAATGCCTCATAGCTTTGTGTTCTGACCCAAAGTCTTAAATGTCTGTGCCTATGGGGAAGAACTGAGTTTCTCAACTTTTTAGATATCTTATCAAAACTATATGAATAACAATAAATGTCAGAAGAGCCAAGTAGACATATAACATTTTATACTGAAGTCACCAGGTCTCTTCCACTTGGGCAGTGTGTGCTAAAGGTGGAGATTATTGTCTTTTAGGATTCCTTTGAAAATGTCCTTTACACTGATCACTCTCTCATTAGGAAAGTCTTGTTTTGCAGCACCCCCTACTTTATCATGCTAGACTTTAATGAATGACTTACTGTCAAAAGTTCCAGATTGTCATACTTTATGACAGTGTATTCTATATTTCTTCTAAAGCAGAGGAAGAAAGATACTTTAGGGGTTCCAACTATAATTGTAATGTTTACCATGAAGAGAATGCTACATCCTGCAATTTAGGAGCTATTTATATATTTTATGAATTGTATTAATTTAGAAAATCTTTTATGTTAAGTTATATAGTTAATACCTATAATCTTAGTTTTAAGTCTTGAATTCTGAATTCTAAATAATTATTCATCTGCCCTGTTCCAGTCTGAGTTTTTTAATGTCTTTAAAATCATGTTTCCTACTTATTGTGAAAAACATAGAAAATATAGAGAATAAGGCCAAATCTACACATAACTTCACAACTGATAGATGTAGCCGTTTGAAGATTTTTCTTCTTCTCCTTTTTTTCTAGTCATATAAATGAATATTCTTCTTCATATACTTAGAAATGTCTGTTTATAACTATATTCTTCATTTCTTTATATTTCCTCCCTCATTTTTATATCATTAAATTTTCTTTAGAGACAGAATTTAATGACCTACAGGCTTTCTTTCTGTTGCTTCTTTTCTGACTTTTTATATGTCTATATTGTGCTCTGACTTTAAAAAGTTATTAAAACTGTGGAATTTTAGTTATTAAAAACTGTTACTATTTAGTAGTCATAACTACTTCTCCGTGAATTTATGAACTCTTGACTAGGACAAACAAAGTTGGTCTCTATTTATTAGTCTATTAGGAAGTCATTAATTTTTAGGTTATATATTAGCTTTTGTCTTTATCTGAAGCATTAGAACATGGGCTATTATATTGGCTTCTGTTTATTTAGTAATTCAGTTTCTTATTTATAATAGTGTGCATCTGTGACTGCTTGATTGTGGGTGGTATTGAGGATTAACTAAGAGCAGGAAGGTGCTGCATCTTTATACTTCAGTGTCTATGGAATTTGGACAAGTTATTCTACTTCACTGAACCTCGTTTTTAAGATTAAAGACTAAATGAGGTACTCAAGTACGTAGTAGAGAGTGTGGTAGATGGGCAGTCTTGATATTCTTGTTACTTTGTTGTTGTTATTGTCATTGTGAGGTCTTTGGCTATTGAGCAAAATAAAGGTGACTGAGAAGAGATTGAAAACCTTGCAAACCTTCCTCTACCCATGAAGTAGCAAACCATGGCGGAAAAAAAAAGACAAAAATTCTACTCTAATTGTAGACCCGCAGAAAGGCATCTTTGTCTCACAGGTAAACTTCAGACTTTACATTAAACACTTTATGTATGAATTTGAAAAGTTCGCTTCTGTTTTCGCAATGCTCAATTGCTGTTCCTGATAATCCTGATATGCGTCCCAGAGTCCCAAGGAACTGACTTATGGCTTCTTCTTGATTCTTCAATAGCTAGATATTCTCTATATACATGCCAGTGTTGCTTTAGTAAATTATTGTGATAATCGTACTAGCTTCCATTCACTGTCAACTGTGTGACAACCAGGAGCTTTTTGAACATTATTTCTTTTAATCCTCATGGCTATTCTGTGAGGCTGTAATTATCTTTCCTGTTTTCTAGTTGAGGAAACTAAGATTTAGAGAGGTTCAGCATTATCTAATTAGAACCTGGATGCTGGTCTCTCTGACTTCAGATAGGAGACTGTAGCTTCACTTGTAGCTCTGTTGCATCAGTTTCACGGCACTGCAGAGCCTCATTCATTCATCCATCTTTCATTTGTCCAGGGCCTGCTTTGTGCCGGGCACTGTTCAAAGTGGTAGGATTACAGCATGCATAATTCCCACCTTCCTAAATCTTGCCTTCTGTTTTAATAAGTCACCTGTGGGCATGTCCCTCCTAGAATGAACATCCCTATAAGGCAGACATTCTTGAGTCTTAGGAAAATAATCAAAATTTTATGTAAGACTAAATATACTTGTTCAGTTTATGATAGGATTATTTCTACAAAAATAATTTTAAAAAATTAAAACTGAAAACTAGGGCATGCCCCATTTTATTCATCATATCTTTTTATTTTAGCACTGCCTTTTAACCTCAGACTCTTCCCTTTGGTGATGTGTTTACTAATTAAGAAGCAGTCAGAGGGTGCATTATTGCTAATGATAATGCTACTTTTTGGTATCTTGGTTACTTTGACTTCCTTGAATGTTCCATAGGTATGTGAGGCAGAATAAAAATCTTTCTTTAGAACATGCCAAAATCATCACACAGATCTAGTGCAAGAGGTTTAATTGTTTCATGGAATAAATAAAAGGATTCTGGCCTAGTTTGAAAATAAATGATGCAGAAGAAGTCCAAGTGTGAGGGGGGGGAAATGATACTTGTTTTATGTGATATCAAGAATATTGACCCTTTCCTTAAGAATGTATTAGTTCAATTTTGAAGAAAATAGTATTATAAAGTGTTTGTGTTGACATTTTTCATTCATGCGGAATCTGAAAATATTTTTAAACACCCTTGAGTGGAGGCTAATTTATTATATTTTTCAGCTATAAATAAAATTAACTATATGCTACACAGCATGTTGCATTGTAATAAAGTTTGCTGTATTTTTGCATTAGAAATGCAAGTGAACATTTTTTGGTCCCAGAAAGAGCAAATGGATTGTGTATGTTCTTTCTTTATTTTTTTTTAAGTCATGTGTCCAAGATGGAGGATCATTGGCAAACCAGCTGGTTGTTCATCTTGGATTTTGATATTGCTTCTCCTTGGGACCCTAGTGCTGGGCTCTGTGATAACCAGTGCAAACTCCATGAATATCTTTCATTTCTCTAGAAGGAGGTGTGGATTTGCAAGGCTGCCAGCTGGATATGCAAATACTACCTGACGGCCCAAAGAGTGATGTGGACTTTTCAGAGATTCTTAATGCAATACAAGAAAGTAAGTTTCACTCAAATTTTAAATTCACCAGGAGAGGAAAAACTATTGTAGTACTTGGGAGGGGGTAACAAAACTAGGAACCTCAGACGCCATCCTTTTAAAAAAACAATATAATTGGGCTGGGGTTGTGGCTCAGTTGTGGAGTGCTTCCCTAGCACGTGTGAGGCACTGGGTTCGATTCTCGGCACCACATATAAATAAATAAAATAAAGGTCCATTGACAACTTAAAAAAATTTAAAACAAAAGACAAACAAACAAACAAAAAAACAATATAATGATGTCTTAAAAGAGATACTGTGCATAATAATTTCGTGGCCAGAAGAGATGGTTAGTGAAATGAAGGTTGAATTTGTAAAATAGAACCACCTCATTTTAGGGTCTTTGAAGAAGCCAATAGTGGAATTATAAGTTCTCTATATTTAGTGTGTTATAATATTTAGTAAGCCTTCAAGTATTATAATTTTTTAGATTCCTTGATTAATTACCATCAAGGAGAAACTATTAAGAAACAAAAATACCATTTCTCTGTTCAAATGCAAGAAGCAAGGATTAAATGTCAAAGCAGTAAACTGAAATCAGGAACTTACCCTCTGACACAAATATCTGGTGAAGTTAATGACAGACAGGCTGTTCCTCAAAAGGGAACCTGTCATTTCTGAGCATTTTGATTAATCAAGGTTTGCTCTTCTTACACCATGTTATTTGTGTTTTATAATTTTCACTCAGAATGTCGTAAGAACTGGTATATTTATCCCTGTTACAGATTTAGCATTGAGGGAGTCATTACTACTCATGTTTCATTAACCAGAGTTCTAATTCTAGATGACGATATTCCTCAAATAATATTTCATAGTATGATATAATATTGGATTTGAGGGGTTTGTGATGCTGGAAATCACCTCCAGAGACTTGTGCATGCTTAGGCAAGGGTTCTACCACGGAGCTACCTCCTCAGCTCTGTATTTATTTTCTTATGAATGATTTTCATCATTTTACAGATAATTACCATTCAGCTATATTACATTCTTGACTTTATAAGATAATTAATATCTCCACCTTACAGGTGGGACAAATGAGGGTGGGAGAAATTAAGTATCAAAATAACTGGTTAAATGTTGGAGACCAGGCTAGAATGGAGGGTGCCCTGTTTGCCATTTAACCCCTTTGTGAATGTGCTCAGTTCAGGATGTGATCACACTGAGGTGAGATACTAAAATTGAAGACAAGGCTACTTCTGAAGGAAATTTTTGTGTGTGAATAATATAAGGGGACCAGTTTTTTGTTCTAGCTGGGAAATCCCTTCAAATTGGATTAGTGAATAAGATAAATATTTTCCCCGAGAGAAACAAAGTCAAATTAATAGACATTGGAAAAAAAACTTTTCATAGAAAGTTATACAATAATGTAATTATTTCATTTAATTTGAAGGAGATAGATTATGCAGGGCTAAAAGTATTTAAAGTTTTTCAATAAAAGATAAAAGTTAGCTTCTATGAAAGTGTTAGAGATGAACTTAAAAAAAATGTTTTTGAGGCTAACTCAACTCATGTCAAAATAAAGATTTAAAAGGGATGATTTTTAATTTTTATTTATTTTTATAGTTATCCATAATAGTGGGGCCCATATTGATATATTTATAAATGCATATAACATCATTTCTTCTTTTCAATCCCCAGTTCTTTGCCTTAACCTTTTCCTCCTCCCCTGGTCCCTACTGGCTTTCCATCTATTTACTTATTGTTTTTCATTGGTACACTACAATTATAAATGAAAGTGGAATTCTCTGTGATATATTCATACATACATGCACAGAGCATAATTTGGTGAGTTTCATTCCATAGTTCCTCCTTTTTCTCCCTCTTCTACCCTCCTGCTGGACCCCTTTCCTCTACTTCACTGTTCTCCCTTCTCTCATGGATCCATGAGATCCAATAAGGGACTTTTTTTTTTTTTATAATAGATCATAGTAGAGACACATTCGTATGACATGTAAACTCTTCTATAGTTTTAAATGGTGACCTCTTTATGAACAGATAGAGGAATACAAATTTATGAACACTTTACAATTCAAAATAAAAAAATGGAAATTTTACTTCAATTTAAAATACAAATGAAAATCTTTATAGGTACATACATTTTATAACCTCAGAACTAATCTATTTACTCTCTTGTTCAGAAAAACAAAAACTAGTTTCACGATAAGTAGAAGATTTGGGAAGCTGCCTGTACAGGCTGGGTCATTTCTAACAGGAAGGATTTGGGCCATTCATCTGCATTCAGGCTCTACCTAGGTTCCCAATATGATTGATATGTGTAGCCAATTCATTGTAATGTCTAAGGATAAAAATGCAGAGCTTGGTTCTTTAAGGGGCCATATCTTAGATGATGGTTTCTAGGAAGCTTTGAGAGACCAGAATGTAATGCTGTAAAGAATGTAGCATTCTGCACTGCTGTCGTGTTATTTAAATAAAAAATAAATAAATAAATAAAATAAAAATAAAAGACAGAAAACAATGAAAAAAAATGTACAATTCTGAATACCAGTATGTCTCCTCCTCTGCATACATTTTTATTGAGAGTAGTAGGACAACAGAAAGATTTCACTGTTTTCTTAGAATTTTATAGTGATATGTGTGTGTGTGTGTGTACATATATATATACATATATATATGAGTGTGTGTATATATGTCTATATATATTACCTCAAGTGCTAGAAGTGGTGGGGGGGTGGGAAGTGGGGAGTCCTAGACAATAGTACATGATATTTTCTTCATTTTGAAGCTGATAAAACTTTAAGTATAACTTCCCAAGCTGTATGGTTAATTATGCAATGGAGTCAATATTTAATTGTGTGTCGTTCCTTGTTCTGCTAAATACAAAATTAAATAAAAATGACTAGGAAAAAGAAACTACTTTGTGTTTTAAACATTTTATTCTTAAGGTTTCACATTTTGATGCAAAAGTTTTCCCTCCTTTGCTTCTACGTTGTAAAATGGATTTATATTATTTTTCCCATAGTGTGTGTACCCTAAGTATAGCATCATTTGTACTAAAGATGTCTCATTGGCCATACTCAAATTGCTTTTCTGATCTTCCTTATTAGATGTACATCTAATAATAAAGAAAAGAATTATTTTTTCCTTCCATTCATCCGTCTCACCTGTTATGTGTCAGACACTACACTAAGCATAATACTTAAAGACAGTGGTGAACATTTTGGTACCAAGTCCAATTCAGGAAAAAATAAAAATATTTACAGATCATATCTTATTGCATGGTTCAGAATGAAAACAACTTGACTGCTTTCTAGATAATAAGGAGATATTTATTTGTGTGTGTGTGTGTGTGTGTATGTGTGTGTGTGTGTTTTCCCCTTGGTGTGATTTTTCCTTCCCTCTCTATTTTCACCCTTCACTCCCCATCCCAAGATGGCAGACTAGTCCTTTGAACTCCTTTGTTTCAGCAGAGTTTTATAATGTTTAAAGCTCCTGGCTTTTGCTTTCTGAAAGCCTGAGCTTCCAAGAGGCTCACACTTAAATAAGAGAAGTAGAAACAGGCAGGAGGAAATTTCTGAGACAAGCTTTCTTGGACTATGCTGCAGAAATAGCGTGGCTTCCAGTGGGTGGATGGAAGGGGAGGGAATGGCTGTGTTGTGCCTGGGAGACAGCTCCAGGGTTACCTGAATTGCCAGCTGCAGCAGAATTATTTCCCAGGGAGGGATGTTGCTGGCTCTGGGAAGGTGGCAATCTCACCTTCCCCAGAGCCTTGAACAGGGCATAGAATATCACAGGTGCTAAATAAATATATGTAATGAATGAGTGAATGAATACATTTCACTGTGGACTTGGACTAGTCAGTTCAGAGGAATTTTTGAGCAGTCTGTCTAAATGTTCAGGTCTTTACCCACACTCTTGGGACCTTTACACCATCCCAGATACATGAGACAGGAGAATGGAAATGTCACCAATGACTGGCTTGTGCACCAAGGCAGTGAAATGTGAACTTAGAGACAGGTTTAATTTGATGTGATGATAACAAAGTCACAGGTCAAATTCTTAACTCTAGAGTTTGTCTAGTAAGATTCAGAAAAGATTTAAGTTTTAAGATTTAAGTTTTGTAGTTTTAAGATTTGAGTATCTACTTTGTTCTGCAAATAACATCAATTAAAGCCAAAATACCCCCTTGCTTTTTAACTACCAAAGTTTCAAAATCTGAACATTTTTAAGAGGTACACATTTTTAGATATTTCCTTCTGAAATTAGGTTGAGCATCTTGTCTTTAAAAGCACAATAGTCCATCAATCAGGCATGGCGTATATCTGGATAAGCTAACCACGGTGAGGCATGTCATTCAAAGATTATACTGGACATGGTAATTCTTGCTTTAAATCATTGTCCCATCCTTTATCTCTTGCTCCTCTTATGGTCTTCTTAGTTTTTCTCTTCTTGATTCTAAGCAGATACAGAGATAGACCATAATGATTCTTGAGTAGCATTCATCCTCTAAAAGACAGAACTGTGCTGTATTCCACTGGGTTCTAATAAAGGAAATAGGGAAAACCATGTAGGTTTCAAAATGAGCAGCTCAAGAATTGGAAGGCCTGGATTTCCGTTTTTGAGGCTTGACCCCTTGTGCCTGCACAAGCCCCTACGGAGTCATGTGGCTGCTCCTGCATCGCTGTGGTTTGTGCTTCTGTGGCTGGGGAAACTGAGTCATGTCTCAGCAATATCAAGTGAGTCATTCTGGATCCAATGTTTTGCAGCTTTATTTCCAACTTTGTTTTCAACCTGTGTGTCGTGCTGCTTCAGAGAGAAAGATGGCAAGAGTAGGGGAACTGGCATCTAGTAAGCCTCTCTGGCAACTCCGTGGTTGACCTTTTACCTATCTCATTTTATTTAATATTAAATTTGCCTTACCTTACTTTCCACATCTGTAAAATGGAAATAAGGATAATAAGTCTATATAAAATCCTTACATTGTGCTTGGAGCATGGTAAGCA